ATTTGTAGTCCATTTTCTTGCATATGTTTATGTAACAGGATATTAAATAAAATTTTTCCTGTGGTCGCCAACAAGAAAAAAAGGTGTCAGGTACTCCTCATTTCAAGAAAGTAAAAAACAATTGGTACTTATTAATAGCAACTGAATCAGCATTGCTGTCTTAACTATCACTCCAGACTTCATGAACAACCACCTTCTTCCTTTATAAGAATAGGCCACACTCATTTACGAACATTCATTTATAAGATGGGATTTGAAGAGGTCATTCTTTTGAAAGGACAGCAACTTGTAGGTATGGCTGTGGTTTAATAATTCCTGTTTGAGCATGCTTCCTCACTGAGAAGGTCAAGGGAGGAGAATTCCAAGATAATTACTCAAGGATTGCAGATGTTTCCACCTCGTTTGGTAGCTGGATTTCTGCTTAAGTGTGAACTGCTGATTGGGAGCAGGGGTTGGAGGTGGTGGCAAAGAATTGAGGAGAAGGGAGCAGGCTGGAGAAAGTGGACATCAGAACAAGAGGACCTACACCAGGAGGAGGGCCTTAGTATCAAGAGGCAGTTTAGGGAGTTTAGGGAGCTTAGAGGATCATGAAGCTGGAGGAGATTCTACTGTGAGGGACTTGTGCAGTTAGGAGTTTCCCCAGTAAGGATTACCTTAAAGGATCAGACATTACCACCATGGAAATATTTAGATTTAGGCCTCTACCACTTGGAAGATGTCAGTTGCCTAAAGGCGTAGCCACAGAAGTTGCAGTGCAGGGGAAATTTAAGCAGGAACCATTTAAGCAGAGACGTTTATCCTACTACCCAGAAGAAAGAGAGGAGGAAGACAGGATGGTTGAAAAGCTGAGCAAGCCTCTGTCTTCCAGATACCTAGACTCTAGAAATGGCTAATGCTAGTGGGGATGGGGAAGCAGCGATGACAGTTAACTAGAATTTATTTATTTATTTATTTATTTATTTATTTATTTATTTTTGAGACGGAGTCTCGCTCTATCGCCCAGGCTGGAGTGCAGTGGCGCGATCTCAGCTCACTGCAAGCTCCGCCTCCCGGGTTCACGCCATTCTGCTGCCTCAGCCCCCCGAGTAACTGGGACTACAGGCTTCCGCCACTACGTCCGTCCAATTTTTTGTATTTTTAGTAGAAACGGAGTTTCACTGTGTGAGCCAGGATGGTCTCGATCTCCTGACCTTGTGATCCATCCCCCTCGGCCTCACAAAGTGCTGGGATTGGAGGCATGAGCCACCACACCCGGCCTAGAATGGATTTATTATACTCAAAATCTGCTCAAGGCTCTTAAGGGATAGAATAGGGAACCTTGACAAAGCTTTTTTGAAGGCAGTAATTAGAGGAAAACGAAAACCATTTTATATTTGTAACTCATCGTTTCTGACTATTCAGTAATCTGGTACCCTTAGAGTAGGGTATCACAATTTAAGGATATATTTCTGCATTTCAAACCTGGTCCATCATAAAATATGTATCACAAAATGCAGTAAAAATATCAAGTGAGGGTGAGCCAAGGGAAATAGTCTGAGTCCATGAAGACTAAGACATTACATCAAACTTATTTTTCAAAAGCTTTGTTTTAACGTTGGAATGGGGAGGGACTAAGCGGGGAGAGGACCTCCCACACCTAGTCCTTACAGATTTGAATTTCAGTTACACTAAATCTTGAAATAACCTTGCTTGTCCCATCTTTTACACAAAAGAAAAACTAAACACACACAGTCACTCTTTATATATAAATTCCATATATTTAAATATGTAGGTATTAGTATATTTTTAATACCAGTAAATCAGTTTTTTCTGTTTCTGTCTTCCCCTGCCGAATATTAGAAGTTTCTTATATATCGAATCTGCTGCTGTTTCTTGCAGTCTTAATAGTAAATATGAATTTTAAAGGTATTTATGTGTGTATATATATATTTTGTGTGTAAGCATAGTACATATATGCTGGTTTATATCGTGCTATATGTTGGCTTAAAACAAAATTGTGAAATATGCACTTAATAACTATGGGCATGTCTTGTTCTGAAGTGGCCTATTTTCAATTCTTATTTATTCATGCTAATAGAGGAAAAGGATGTTATAAATAATGCAAAAATCACTTACAGCTGACTTGGTTATATATTGTATATTTTTCATCAGACTTAGTTTCTTAATTGTTTGCTCTATTTATTACCCAAATGAGCTAACATCATGAGTATTTAACAAATGATGATTGGCGGAGATGGCTAGAAGCATTCTATGTATCGCGAAAATCTAATATAGCATTAGAAACTTACTAGAGAAAATTCACATATGAATGCTTGATATTTACCTGTGCACAAGGGACTGATATCTGTGATGCAAAAACAGATGTGAAAATGAATAGTGTTTTGTCTGTAGTTTGTTTTCAGAGTGATTTAATCAGAATTTTAAGATAATATTTTACACCTTAATAATGTGAAAAATAGAGTTATTGTGCATCTCTACTGATATCAGTGAAATTTAAATATATTTGCAGAAATAACTACTTCCCATTTATTTATTTATCCTGGCAATAAGGACTTCAATAAAAGAGGACATTAGTTTAAGTGAACAGAAAAACAAAAGTAGATTATAGGTGTAAATGGAGCTCAAACTGAATCCAAAATAATGAATGTCTGTTTTTCCACTCCATATTTTAGTTAATTATCCTCAAATATGCAATCTACTATGAATATGTAATGGTTACATTTGTTGAAAATTTAAATGAAGTATAAAATATAGAGAAAATTACTTATTATTTCTTACTTTCCAGCACAATTTTTATATTAAAATAATATTTATTCCAAAGCATGATTTCTATATCCCGATAGTCAGTTTTAACTGATAACATACAAGGTAAAATCAATGCTGAATCATAATATTTGACCAAATCAAATCCCACAGATTTTGGGAATTAAGCCTGCAATAAAAAATTGCATGTACTTTGATAAAGGCAATGTAAAGAGAAGATGTTTACAATGTTTTATAATAATAATCTCTTGATAGCATACATTTGAAAAATTCATCTATTTATAGTTCTTGCATGTTTGACTAGTACCTTAGAATAAGTGTCAAAAAAGTTATGAGAACAGAAATAAGGTGTATAAATTTGTGAATATGAAAAGAACTTTTATATCACAGTGTAGGAGCAAGCTGGAGAAATTTCATTTATGTGAGTCGTTTCTGCATGAAGCTATAAACTTTTTTTAAACCAAAAGCTGTCATGGTTTCTTGTAAAATAATAAAGATAATAAAGATATCCATTTTAATTGATTCTTTTCATTGTTTAATAAAATTGCTTTGTTTGATTGCTGAAGAATTTGAATTGAGTTTTCATTACCCACTTCTGAACAATTTACTCTAAGATCCAGACAGTATTGAGCTAATGAGTTTGAATTTATATTGAACCTTAACTGTCTTCATGAAGTAAATGGAAAAAAATCATGGCAGTAACTAAGTATTCTTCATTAAGAACTATGTCGTAGAGATTTTACAATGAGGCTTTTAGCAGAGTTAAAGCATTAAATTGGAGTTTTACCAACTCTGCTGTTTCTATGCATATTATATGAAAATATGGTTTCTTTTTTTAAGAAATAAAAAAGTCATGAGCTAATAGAGATATTACAGAAATTTCCTCTAAGTGGATAGTTTGTATTTTCAACAGATTCAGTTAAGGAATAAATTAATACTGAATTAATTTAATTTGAGAGCACATTGAAATTGAAATGATTCATAAACACCTTCCAAGGAGTATTCTAATAAGGTATTTCGTGAACTTTTAAAATCCAAGGAATTGCCACCAATATTGAAATGCAGGTCCTCAGTTGAGTGACATTGACATGGAGACATAAATGTATGTTTCTCTTTATTGAAAACAAGTGATGTATTTATTCATACAAACATGCATGCATATTTAATTTTTGCTTTGGCATTATATTCTATAAAGTGATCTTTTGTGTTCTCTGTACAATGTCTAACCAAGCTGGACATTTAATGGCTCCATTTTTAGGATTTGCTGTGTAATGAAGTTAGGCACTTTATTTGATGCCTAGGATGTCATTTACTACAAGGATAACTTTGCATTCTATAAATATTAGTGTGTTTCAATTCCAAGGAGTAATTAATTATCTAGTTAATATAATAGAGACAATTTAATATTAAGCTGGATAGCCAACACAGTATTAGACTCCACCACTAGGTTAAATGTTGCAGAAATACTATTGTTTAAAATTTTGAGATCCTATATAAGAAACAGAAAATCAAAAAGAATGTGCAGCTTAGGGGAAATTTACTTACCTAAGCTTATTTCCCTAGAAATCAGTTTTCCAACTCCAAATGTGATATATTTTTTAAAACGTCATTTTAAATTAGTCGTTTTAAGATTTGGAATAATATTATATCCAAGTAATTTATATTCATTCCCCACAGGCAGCAGTGATGGTTCCTGGGATAAGGAAACACTGCCCTCTTCCCCATCCCAGGGACCTCAGGCCTCTGTAACCCAGCCCCGCTTGCCTGGAGCACGTAGCCTTCCACTTAGTCATCCTCTCAACCATCTTCAGCAGAGCCACCTTCTGCCAAATGGTACGATGGCATTTTTTAGCATTAAAAAATCGTAGTTTTAAAAATTGTAATTATCAGTTGGCAAAATAAGACATAATACAGAGATATACTATATTTACATAACTAATTGGGATAAGTTAAAGAACACCCTAGTATTTTAAGCAAGATTCAGACTGATTACAGGAATAATATAGCAAAGAATTGACCATTTGTATTAAACACAGGAAAAGTTAGGAAATGAAAAACCATGGGACCAAACCAAATAGCTATAAGCCTAGTTTCCCTGAGTAGTGAGTGAAATTTTTGCATACGAAGAGGAAAAATATTTTTTCTTTGACTACCATTATTAGAAAACTTTTGAATGTTTCAATTTTTAATGATCTATGCCCTCCAGAGCAATGATGATATATGTGCATTTTTTATAGGACTGGAACTTCCTTTCATGATGATGCCCCACCCCCTAATTCCTGTCAGCCTACCTCCAGCGTCTGTCACCATGGCAATGAGCCAGATGAACCACCTCAGCACCATTGCAAATATGGCGGCAGCAGCACAAGTTCAGAGTCCCCCATCCAGAGTGGAGACATCAGTTATTAAGGTAATTCTTTTTTTATACAATTATTTTGGCATGTTCATCTTAAGCCACCATCTATTAATCCATTTTTCTTATTCCATAAGTACATTTGAACTCTAAAAAGCTAAGTGATAGTAAATAGATTATTTAAAGAGTAGCAAGTGGCCCCAGGGGCACACTACTTACTTAGGCAGGCTAGGGTTGCTTTAAATTCTCTATATATCTATTAAGATAGAGAAAAACATAGGACATTAAATGTTATAGTTCAAATTGTCTGTGTTCTTACATGGGTAGTTGTGTGTATGTGTGTGTGGTGTTATGAGCATTTATGTGAGGAGAATCAGAAGACCAGAAGGGATAAATTCTGCCACTTTCTAGCTCTGTCACCTTAGACATGTAATTCAATCTTCCTGATTCTAGTAAATATCTAATAAAGGCATAATCTAGTGTGGATTATTTTGTAAAAACTAAATGAAGTAATAAAATTGGAAGTTTCCACACATTCAAAAATACACTAAATTGAAGGTAACATTATTGTTATATAAACTTCATATGTGCATATATACACAATTCTGTCTCCACTATCCCTGTGTATCTGTGTGTGTATGTGTGTGAATTGTATGAGTTTATATGTATATATGTATATATAATCTTTTTCCTTTATATTATTTTAAAATGTGTACTTAAATCAAAATATTTTAAGTGCATTGTCTGATTGGCCAAGGAGTAAGAAATAACAAAAAATTAAGAATAGATTATTGATTTTTAAACTAAGTAAAAGATATTTTATGCTTCATGATCATTATTTGACATTACAATTATCCCATTTTTCTGAATACAATACACTTAAATTTTAGGGTAGCCTCTGGAGCACATCTTATATAAAAGGCCCTGTTACTACTTACATACAATGTTCAGTAATATGCAAATAGGAATTTTTCTCATGTTAAAGGCTCTAAAAACAAAGATATGTCCCAGATGCTTTGAGCAGTTTCTGTAGTATCAATACCAGAGGAAAAATAACCCAAAGTCTCACAGAAGACCCGGATCAACTACTCAAAGATCGCCACCTGAGAGAACGCCAGTGAGTGCCACATTGATCTCAGTCAAGGAACTGATTAAAAAAAAAAAAAAAAAAAAAAAGACCTTTGAAAACTCTTCTGTAAGAGGGAAATTGTTACCAGATTATTCAATAAGCAAGATATCACTGTATTGTTTGATTTATGATGATGTTTGGTAATAGGTATTATTGAGAATTAAGAACTCTGATTGCCTCGCTCATTAAAGTTATCTAGAAGAGGAGTTTGGCTGAGGGAAAAATCCATTTAAGTCTACTCATCATCATACTCAATGGCTACTTTAAGCAAATGTTACAGGGTACTAAGTATTAATTTATACGATGTGATTATTCTCATTAAAAATATCTGGTTGTGATTACTATAATCATCTCATAATATTAATTATGTAATTTTTACTTTCAAAACTGGCAACTATTTAAAATCTCTCATTTAGGTAAGATTTACATTAATAAATAAGGCAAACATATGATAGAAGAGCAGATTTTAGCAAGTCATAATGGGTGTCTAAGTTATGACCTGTAGTTAATATTTGCATGAGGAATGGATTACTTATTCTGGCATCCAAAAGCCTTTATTTATATCAGGATACTTAATTTATTTTATTTTGCAATATACATATATTTTTAAAAATAGTTTGCTACTTGTTAATTAGAATACTTGGGGGAACTCCTTTTAATACATCCTTGGTTGTCAAAGTTTCGATAAGCAGGAGGAAGAAGTTGAGTTTCCTCTGGGAGAAGTCTACGGAAAATAATTTGGGACTCAATGATTGGGAAGTCAGAAACATTCCTGTGTTTTCTTAGATTAAGTTTAGGAATGGAAAGGAGGGGGGTATATGAAGAAAGGAAGAAAATACACAGAAAGAGAAGAAAATGAGGTCGCTTTATGTTTTGAAACATGTGCCAACGCCTACTAAGTCATAGAGATATCTCACTTCATCTCTTGTTGCAAATCTTTTCAGAAACTTGGTTACATGCGGATTAAAGGGAGTTGTGGATTTTGAATGTGTTGATGTAAATGGTAATAGTAGCAGCCAAATAGGGAACAATGGCTGTAATTAAGAATGATTATAGAAAGTAAAATCTGATAGTTTTTATTGCCAACATCAAAGTGAAGTTCAGTTGGCTGTTGTGGAAGGGCAGAAAGGCCCATTTTTATCATGGCACCCTTATTTTGTGAGACAGGCCATTCGCATAGCTTCAAGTTTGATGGTGACCGGTAAAGATTACTGAAAGTAAACACATTTTAAGAAAGGCGGGAGATGATTCTAACAGTTTTAGATGCTTAAAGGCATCCACATAACCTGATAAAAATCAAGTGAGTGTCCTCAGAGAATAAGCGTGAGGAATAGGTCCTCTAAGAAGTTCTAAGTATTAGAGAGAACAAGTTAACAAATCAATCTGTCTAAATGTATATATTGGTTGACTGTGTAGTTCAGGCAGAGTTTAGTAAGCTCACTTAATAGATGTTAATTAAGTTTAGTTTTGGGGAAGTTTTTATTTTCCTCAAATAAAATAGTAGACTCTTACATCCCCTGTAACAGCATTGGACACATGTGGGTAACTAGAATAGGGACTACACATTGGTTTGCCTGGGAAGATTCTATTAATAAGTGTGAAGGTCTGTTGCAAGTGAAGTGTTAAATATCAAAGAAGATTGAGCCCATATCTCGGAATTATAAAGCAACTGGAGAAATAGCCTTTAAAGAGAAAATAGAACTTTGAGAGATGTTCTAAAAGTTGGAATATACCGTTTACATTTTTTGAGAGTAATGACAAGACTTAAAACTGAACCTAAATGCAAATGGCAATAAGAATTTGTAGGACAAAAGAGAAGCAAAAATATAGCTTTCGGAGTTACATATTTTAAAGTATTCTTTGTTTAGCTGTTTCTATGAAGTGAAGGAGCTCCAAAATTTTTTTCATAACATATCTTCAATGCCAGGACATTAAATGGAGCAGGGTCTGAATCCCCAAGCTTCCAATGTTGGGTGAAATCTATTCTGCTGCTGGTTTTTATGACCTGTGAGTTAAGAATGGTTTTGCATTTTTAAGTGGTTGGAAAAAAATAGAAAGAAAAATATTTCATGACACATGAGAATTATATGAAATTCAAAATGTAGTGTTGGTAAATAAAGTTTTTCTGGGGATACAGCCACATCTAAAGTTATATAATGTCTATGGCTATTTTCACGTACAAAGACAGAGTGGATTAAAATACTTGCTATTTAGTCTTTTACCAAAAAAGCTTGTCGATACCTGTGTTAGACCTCTGATTAACCCAAACCCACGTGAATCTCAGACTATGGAAAAGTGAAGCAGCTCAAACTAAACTCTCAAACACAATAGAACCAAGTAGAAAAAAATAAAATAAGATAATTGAGAATTTACGGTTGAAAGAATTAAATGCACCGAGGAAAAGAAAACTAGATAGATGAAGACTTTCCCACTATGGCATTGTTATTTGCTTTACATGCAAGTGTCCATGAAAGAGTCTGGTCTGCTAAAGTACTAAACTTAGACTTTCTATGGCTGGTTGTATTGAGTATAATCAAGATTATTTTGAGGAGGAAATTTACATATACTCTTTAGACAATAATAATTATAATTAAAATTCCCAGTTGTGTGGATATATGCACAATTTCCCCTCCTCTCTCTAACTCCCTAAATATCTGCAGAGATATATTAAATAATTACAAACTGTACCTGTATTAATTTCTTATGTGTCAGTGATGCACATATACTTTTTCTGTTTAGCATTCATAGAACATCAAGCAACTTAGACTTGAGATGTTATGTAATTCAGCTTCCCCCATAATGGATAAATAATTCCCACATCCTTCTTATTCATTTTCATATATCTAAGCTTTTGTAGGATGCGTAATCTATTTTCAGCAAATTTAAGAGTGAGAAGTATATTCATTAATCAAATTAAAATTTGCATCTCAATAACTTCTACCTTAACTTGGTTATATTTTATTGGAAGAAAACTGTCTGCTAATTCTTCAGGGTTCTAGCCATTTCAATATTTAAGCCCTCTGGTTCGGTACCTATAGTGTTTCTGTTTTCTAGGCCAATTATTCTAATTTGTTCTGACTATTCATCTTTTTGGTTGCCTTCTTTTTATTGAAGTTACCCTCTATCCCACCATCCTCTAGAATTGAATTGTGCAATGAAGAGACACTAGACATCAACCTCAATTTGGACAATAATCTATAAATCTAGTCATAGTTCTTAAGATTTTGTTTGGTAGCTGAATGTCTGACTCAGTAAATTTCTTGCCTTTCTGACATAAAATTCTGTTAAGCCAGTTTTTCTTCATCTTTTATTTGTGTTAGAAATTTTTATTTATCCACATTAAGTTTTTTAGTTTCCATTCCGTTGATTTAGGGTCTTTAGATACTTTGGAGTATTAACATCCCAAACTATCACATTAGCTATTTATGCCACCTTTGTATCATTTCCAAATTTTAAAAGGATGTATTCCTTTATTACCTTAAATGATTGAGTAAAATAAACAATATAAATCAAGAGATCAATTTCTCTTATCATTGGAGAATTCCTAATAGGTTGAAATGTTCTATTAATTGATTATCTTAGGTATCATTCATTATGTTACCCAAAATTCTCCTGAATGAATCAATATTTTTCTCAGTTTTTATATAATAAATTCACAATGTTGTAACGATTTTGAAAAGAGCATCCTTGCTGAAATAGAAGTAATATTGAAAGGAAGAAAGGCAGCATATTTTAGTTATTTAAAGCATGTGTTCTGAAAAAAGACTACTTGGATTTGCATTTCGACTTTATCACCTCCAACCAGTGTGACCATAGACAAATTATTTAATATATTTGTATTTGTATGTAATAACAATACTACCCCATTAGGTTGTCATAATGATTACATTACTATTTATATAATCTTTGGAAGTCTTTCTATACCGAC